CAACAACATATGTTGCAACAAAATATTCTGTCAGCAGCGAACTCTACATCCCCTCTGCAACATTTGAATAATATTTTTGGTTTGAATTTCAATCCAACGCAACCACAACAACTTCCTCCAAACCAATTACCATCGATATCACCAGCTACCGCAATGCCCTTAGCCGCCACTTCGATTTTTCATATTCAAAATAATTTACAACATTTATTGGCTGGTATTACAGCCCCACAACAACAACAACATCAGCAGCAACAACAACAATTTAATCAACTCTATCAAGAATTCTATGGCAACATGTTGCCCCAGCCCCAACACCATCAAGAACAGCAAATGTTGCGTGAGCTAATCCAGGCAACATCCACAGCTCAGACGGACGTACTTCCGGTTAATAGTGTGATTAAATGTGAAACACCCATAACGACAGCAGCAACAACAACTTTATCTCATGAAATGCCGCCAACACTTTTGGCCACCAAAGTTGCCGGTATGGCTGCTGCTGCCGGTGTGACACCACTGCTGGTGGATAACAACAACCCGACTGGTGGCAATACACCAAAGACCGGTGGTGATAACGATGCTCATGGCGGTGATATTGGCGGCGTTGCTCTCAATCATAACGATTGTTGTCGAGGTAATATGGCTTCATTAGAGCAACAACATAATGAGTCAACGCACGCCAACCAAAAACATCAACACCACCATCAGCCGTCGCCGCCGCCCAGTCAACAATTCCAGTCGTGGATCGACGAGCCACCACCACCACAGCAACAGGGTAATAACAAATTGCCCAAAGCACAGTCGGCCACCTCACACCATCAGACAGCAACAACAAGCGAACCGACAACCACACCACCAACAACAGCAGCTACAGGTGGAGAACCACAACAACCATCAACATCAAGTCGGTCTTTGGCCACAAACAACAACAAACCATCATCTGATTTGTCGGAAGCTGACATTAAATGTGAGGTTGGTGTTGTTACTGGCGAAGTTATTGCGACCGCTAGGTCTGATGATATCGGTGTTGGTAATGCATCATCAATGACATTTCAGACACCTGCTAATAACATAACAACAGCAGCAACAGCAACAACACCAAGTACAAGTGGGGTTAATACTACAGCTTCGAACATCATGAAATTGGGTAAGTACAAAATTGTTTTTTGCTTGATTATTTTTTAAATATTTTTAATATATCATTTTAATAAAATAAATTAAAATATTTATTATCCACTTTAAAACATTTTTAGCTACATTATGGGCACATTTGAAGTAGTTTCGAGAAATAGGTCAAATCCGGGGTATTAGCCATTATAGCATCCATACTAAGATTGTAAGTTGGGGTTATCGCAACATTTGTTTAGGATCCAATTTAGTACCGCCGAACGAATTACGATATTTTCAAGGCATCTTGTAGACGTGGAGTTTTCAGAATATTTTTTTTCAATAACTTATCGGTTTGAAGTAAAACCAGTAATATGATACCCTTCACCACTATGGGTATATTAAAAAGATGCATCCTAACACAAGGGCCATTAACACAACATTGGATGAACTAAAGTATGTGACCTTTATCTAAATGTGAACCGACTTAGATCAATCCATAAACATGTCATTCGTTTGTTACAATGGGAAAATTTTTGTAAATCGATTTAAAGCAAATATCAATCGGGCATCCGTTGAATATTTGGAGTCCAATTAACACGAAGTAGGTCGGAAATATATATGGCCTACATCTGTACTTCTACACGAAAAGTCTGGTGCATCATTCACTAAAAATCGGATAAAAATAAATATGGAAGCTATATACAAATATGAACCGATTTCAACGAAACTTGTCACAGGTTAGGTTTGATTAATTTATGTACGTTTTGTTCCTAATGGACATATTTTGGGTCCTTGACTCCAACTTAAAATCGGACGAAACTGTATGGAAGCTATATCTAAACCTGGACGGATTCCAACAAAACTTGCTATCTTAAGTACGTTGTGCAAAATTGTGTGGCAATCGGCATAACATTGGTTCTTAAAATCTGACATTTCAGTACACTATGTTAAATTTCGTGCAAATTGATAGATATATAGGGAATTTGGTGAACCATTTACCTCAAATCGGTCGAACATATATATGGGAGCTATATCTAAATCTGAACCGATTTTCAAGAAAATTTACAAATATCATACGCGTCTCAATTCAGTACGCCATGCCAAAATACGTGCAAATCGAAAATCCCTATATACCATTTACAATAAATCGGTCGAACATATATATGGGAACAATATACAAGTCTGAACCGATTTTTCAATAGGGTTCGTCCTTGGGCCAAATGAATGAGCTGTGCCAAATTTCATCCAATTCGAATAATAAATGCGACATGTACTTTGTCTACAATTTAACATGGACAGACGGACGGACGGACATACGTAAATCGACTTAGAAAGTGATTCTATGCATATTCTCAAAAGGAACCATGAGTCTATATCGATTCCTTTTCCCTGTTACAAACATATGCACAAAGACATAATACCCTGTACCATAGTGTGGTGAAGGGTATAAAAAGAAATAGCTTTGTGACAATTCTCAGAGCAGATAAATGCATGTGTATTTGTCCATTATAATTGTAAACACGTTCAGGCAACAGCTATAGACGAATAGTCAAGAAATTTTTCATGTATAATTATACTATCTTCTTGTCATATATTGTTTGGTCGAGTCAGTAGCAGTTTCTGAAATAAGTGTGAAAAACATGGAAAACGTATGTCGAAATTTTAATTTTTTTTTGCAGTTGTGCTATTTTCAGTATGATGGTGTTGTTTTACTGATTTTATTTCAAGAGAAAATTTTTAGATCTAATTAAGAGGAAAATATTGCTTAAAAGAGAAAAGCAATATTTCGAATAGTTCACGAGATATAGACTATATAGTACATATTATTCGAAGATTGTGCTAAAATCCACCCCCAGTCGAATATTTTAAAAATTAATTTAAAAAAAAACCTTAGCTAATAATGCAAAACCCAGCTAGGGATTTTCTTCCACCATCACAAGTGTCAAGATTTTGGGGGTCTCGATTGGTTCAAGATTTTAGTGCTACACAGTGTAATCGGTTCGGGCCAAAGAAGACCCCTATTGTTTTAGGTAATGATCGGTTAATATTTAGGGGACTTTACTTTTTCTGTTTTTCTGGTCGCTTAGAAGGCTAAAATTATGATCTGAACATAATGAAATTACACACGGAGAAGTCTGGCTATTTTAATGACAATCCGCAAAGAATGCAAAATTTACATTTTAATTCAGAATAACTTAAAGCGGAGAACTCAACAGTATATCCAATACGAGTGGTTGACCTTTAAATTGATATCAAATTTATTGATAGGGATAGGGTAGTTATACGTCAATGTTAACATGTGTCTATTTATTCTGATATAATTCAATATTATTTAGTATTACGCTAGATTCTTATTCAGTTCTGGTGGGATCTGAAAAACACATCGCAATGGATGTTTTGCTAACGGCCGGTCAATATGTATCGGTAAAGAGGTCAGAGTAAGGCAGAGCAGCTGATTCCTCTAATCGGTAATAATTCGTTTCAAGAGCCTTGGCAAATCGAAAATTTCTTCTATATTTCTTCATGCGAACGGAAAATCCGGTTTAAACCAAACTTTGAAAAACCTTTTATTTTTACCAAGCCTATATCAAGTGTTTACCAAGCCTATATCAAGGATCCATTGGTCCACTCCTTCTGGTGCCTCCCCACAAAGGGTCATGATTTTCAAAAATTATACGTCCAATATCAGGCGAATGGAATGTCCGATTTGAATCAAAATTTGCACAACCTATTAGCATTAAATGTCTAGATCAAGTTCGAAGATTGGACCCATTGGTCCACTACTTTTGGTGCCTCCCCCACAAAGAGTCAAAATGTTCAAAAATTATAAATCCAATTTTAGGCCAATGGATTGTTCGATTTGAACCAAACATTGCACAGCCTACTATCTGTACCAAGCCTAGATGAAGACCGAAAATGGGACCCAATCTTACACTCCTTTCTCAATATTTATAAATCTAATATCAGGACATTCCATTGTCCGATTTGACCCAAACTTTGCACACCGTATTATCTTTACCAACCCTACATCAAATAGGAAGATGGGATCCATTGGTCCATAATTTTGAAAATTGAATAACCGATTTGATCAGCATTAAATAGTAAGCCTCATTAATAAACGTGAGTAATAAAACCTGAGTGTAATTCCGAAAACCTCCGCAAATGATAGACTGAGGGTATATGTAATATATGACGGAAACACCGATTGGCACTTTCTTATTTGTTTCTGGTCTTTTTAGAGGTCACAATTATGACCCCAATATTAAGAAATTTAACACAGGAAAAGGAATAACTCTTTTGATAACGATTGGTGAATATTCAAATGGACGCAGACTTTTGTGTGAAAAATGACCAAGTTTGTATTCTATGACCAATATATTTATTCCCGAAGTATATAGACCCAAGATGTTAATAGGATGTGGAAGTTATTCGTAAATATTTAAAGATATCTGCTTTTTTTGATTATCATTACCACACTAAAGGGAATATATTTGGCGCTGATCGATTTGAAATTTTAGACGAAATTCCGGCTATGGTCAAAGACCGATATCTATAATATTCGGAGATGATCAGATGATATTTAGGGAATTAAATGACCAAAAACGTAGTTGTTGTTCAAGTTGCTCTATAGTTCACAATGATTAGCCAAACATTACAATCGGCCAATATTCAGCGGGTCAAATCAACCAAGACCTTTCTGTGTAAAATGACAAAATTTGCATTTTATGCCGTAAATGTTCACCCGGAAAAATAATCCGAAATATGCCAGGGTAAAGCAGGGGGTGCAGAAATATTTTTTCCATCAACTGTCATAGTTGAATATTTAATTTTTTGTTTACATCTCTCATAGGCACCCATTATTATTTTTTAAGAACTCTCGGAGGGCTGTATCCTAAAATATAATATTTTCAAGCCATATATGTAATCATGATAAGGCGTAAAACCGATTTTTTCGGACTTATAATAAGGTGTATGTTTACGCCGTCCGCCATAAAGTGGGGCCCGAATTTTTCCGCAATCTTAGAACAAATTTCTGTTCACAGATTTCATGCAACTATCCTCAATAGGATATGCATACAATTTTACATCTCTACATCCTTGCATTCGGGAGATACAGTACATTCTTTTGGAAAAATTTAAGTCCAATATCAAGAAAACCAAATGCAAAATCAAAAAAAGGGTTTTAATATAGGGAGTAAATTCATTTTTACAAGAATCAAAAATAATTCTGATGGCAGAATTCGTGCAATTGGAATACGAAACGATTTAAATAATTTGGACTGTATACACAAATTAGTACTGTACACAAATGTACCCTCTTCTCTATATTGAAAAACTCATAACTTTACCAACATTTTGATTTTTTTTTTCATTTGATATTTTTCGTCCATAATCAAGTCTTGACATATGAAATCCAATAATATACATCCAAATAATATACATACATCCATCGTTTCACCATGTGACATATATCTAGAAATTATTTACACGATAGTTTCTAATCTCCTATAATATTTTCTACATAATATTTTTTAGTATTTGTAGTTTGACTAAGAAAATTACATGCAAGATTTAAACAGCCAACGTTAATATACCAAATATTAAGCAGCTTTAATATTTGGCATATTTAGGTCGGCTTGCTTTAAACCTTAACAACTCTACTAATCTCATTTTTGTTAAATTTTGGCAATTTCCTGTCTGTTTGAACAGGGGTAATTCAACGCTCATATCAAAAAGTCACGAATATGCCAAACAAAGTCTGCTGATGTATGCTATATTTTAAATTATCATTAAGGTCTAAATATGAATATTTAAAAAAATTAATGAATGAATACATACATAAAAAAATTAAAATATGAAACCGAAAGGAAAGAAAACTCAATTTTTGATATTTAGTTCAAGCTCATATTTTACGAAAAATAATATTCGTGTTCTTTACATTAGCTCATTTTAATATCATTAGTCATTAGGTAAGAAAGATTCCATTATTGTGGAGCTTCACATTTTATTGTTGATTTTTAGTTGCTTGTCTGTAAT